TGTTCCAAAAAATGTAATAAAAAAAAGTCATAGTATAGTATGTCATAAAAATGTAATAAAAAATGCCATACTATAGTATGTCACAAAAATGTAATAAAAAATGTCATAGTATAGTATGTTCCAAAAAATGTAATAAAAAAAGTCATAGTATAGTATGTCATAAAAATGTAATAAAAAAGTCATAGTATAGTATGTTCCAAAAAATGTAATAAAAAAAGTCATAGTATAGTATGTCATAAAAATGTAATAAAAGATGCCATAGTATAGTATGTCATAAAAATGTAATAAAAGATGCCATAGTATAGTATGTTCCAAAAAATGTAATAAAAAAGTCATACTATAGTATGTTCCAAAAAATGTAATAAAAAAAAGTCATAGTATAGTATGTCATAAAAATGTAATAAAAAATGCCATACTATAGTATGTCACAAAAATGTAATAAAAAATGTCATAGTATAGTATGTTCCAAAAAATGTAATAAAAAAAGTCATAGTATAGTATGTCATAAAAATGTAATAAAAAAGTCATAGTATAGTATGTTCCAAAAAATGTAATAAAAAAAGTCATAGTATAGTATGTCATAAAAATGTAATAAAAGATGCCATAGTATAGTATGTCATAAAAATGTAATAAAAGATGCCATAGTATAGTATGTTCCAAAAAATGTAATAAAAAAAGTCATAGTATAGTATGTTCCAAAAAATGTAATCAAAAAGTCATACTATAGTATGTCAGAAAAATGTAATAAAAGATGTCATAGTATAGTATGTTCCAAAAAATGTAATAAAAAAGTCATACTATAGTATGTCAGAAAAATGTAATAAAAAATGTCATAGTATATTATGTTCCAAAAAATGTTATAAAAAAAAGTCATAATATAGTATGTTCCAAAAAATGTAATGAAAAAAAGTCATAGTATAGTATGTCATAAAAATGTTATAAAAAAAATCATAGTATAGTATGTTCCAAAAATGTAATAAAAAAGTCATAGTATAGTATGTCATAAAAATGTAATAAAAACGTCATAATATAGTATGTCATAAAAATGTTATATAAAAAAAGTCATAGTATAGTATGTGACAAAAATGTAATAAAAAAAGTCATAGTATAGTATGTTCCAAAAAATGTAATAAAAAAGTCATAGTATAGTATGTCATAAAAATGTAATAAAAAAAAGTCATAGTATAGTATGTCATAAAAATGTAATAAAAAAAGTCATAGTATAGTATGTCACAAAAAATGTAATAAAAAAAGTCATAGTATAGTATGTCATAAAAATGTAATAAAAAAGTCATAGTATAGTATGTCATAAAAATGTAATAAAAAAAAGTCATAATATAGTATGTCACAAAAATCGAATAAAAAAGTCATAGTATAGTATGTCACAAAAATCGAATAAAAAAGTCATAGTATAGCATGTTATAAAAATGTTTAAATAAAGTCACAGTATAGTTTAAAAACGAAGGTAAATGTATAGAATGTCATAACAATGTGAAAAAAGTCACATCAAAGTATGTCATAAAAATATTTTTAAAAGTCAGAGTATAGTATGTCATATATGAGAAAAAAAGTCCAAGTATAGTGTGTCATAAAAATTAACAGACTCAGACGTGCATTCATCTTTGTAAATCTGATGAAAAGAGTGCATGTGCATATTTCTTTATTTATGCATAGATGCAGTTTTGGTTGTGAATGTATCCAGAGTCTTATGCATCTGGCTTATGCATGTGTCCCATGGCAGCCTTGTGGCCACCACTTGCGGGATGGGACATCACTTATCCTCTAGCCCCATTTCCACCGGGCAGTACACAATGGTTCAGTCCAGTTTGGTCCACTGTGAAAAGTCGTGGATGTTACCAATGGAATTGATGACTTGAGGCTACACCTATGACTTTCTGACACACAGTGCAGTAACATCACACCTTACAGTTATTTCCAGAGAGGGGCCTGGGCAAAACTATTCCAAAAATTAAGTCAGGGAATTGCACAAATATTGTGTGTAACAGTGTCTGAGGATTCATTTGTTTTCCTGAACAATCACACTGGAGAAAATATGCTGACACAAGCACACATTGTAAACATCAGTGTATAACCCTGCAGTTTTATTCACTTCATCATTTGTGACAGAGTGTGCATGGACAAGTACTCTGACCTCTGCCTCAGCTGAATGAGAACACACTCTGTTTGTACAGTTATAATGCTGCATTGCCCTCAGAGATATAACAACCACCCCTGTATTAGACTACTGAGGAGGGGTTTATTAGTCACTACTCAGAGCATTGATTTTTTTTTTACACTGTTGAAAGCCTTTTCGCTGCTCCAATGCTGCATCTGTCCTTCTGCATCTCCCTGAGGACAATACCCTCATAACACATCTTAGATACGACCCTGGCTTTGCTCTGAATTATTAAACACACCCATATCAGATATTCTCATGCATATCTGTAACCTGGCAGCGGTGCCATATGAGTGTGTCTTTGTGTGTGCGCACATGTGCTCAGTTTTTAGCTCACGTTTCATGTTTGTATTGAATTAGGTCCTTTGTGAATTCTTCTTTCTCTCCGTCTTTACTCCGTCTGTTTCTTCCTCATCTATAAATTAGAAAACAGAGAACAAAAGCTCCCCCTTAAATTAGCTGGCCTCCTATCAAATAAAGGAATCTAAGAGTATAAAATCACTGAGAGTGAAGGGGAAACTTTTGGTGCCACTTTTAGGCCTCAGCGAAAAGCATTTTATCAACTTTCCTAACTTATAAAATGACTTCTTCGGTATCTCTGCTAATATTTAGGAGAGCTCCAGTGGTGTCCTTAGAAAGTGATCAGGCAGAGAGCTGCTCACAGAGAAGCAAAGATGTTTGTATTTGACTATACACTTATTAAGATTGAATAATGCTTTGATGGACCCGGTGCTCTCTCTCTCTCCACGTAAACAAAGATCCTCTCAACCTCATGGCAACAGCAAAGATCAGAATCTGTGTCACAACAAACTACTTCTGCAGTAATAAATCAAATTTAATAATGGTCAGATTTATTTATTTATTCCTCAAAAACAAGCTGCACTTATGCACAATGTGGGTTTATTGATTTATTAGTTCTTTAGAGCCATATTTGATAGTTTTGATTTATGTATTACGGTGTAGTTCCCAATCAAGCTTGACCAATAAATTGACTATGTTGACATAAATTGGTGGATAAACCTATCTCAAAAATATGAGTATCGGTTTGTACAACAGCTGATAAGTAACAAGAAATTGCAAACTGGGTTTAGCATTATTTGGAAAGTGTCTAAATTATTGTCCAACGCAGAGCGCTGACAGGTTGATTTTGTACACTATAAATTTTTCCGTGCTGTGTTTGTCTTGATCACAACAAGTCAAAAGAATCCTTACAAAGAATGTTAAATAACTATCTGCCAGCAGTGTTGTGCATGAACACACTAAAAGAGCGAATTCATCTAATGTGGTCATATTTTTCATGAAGGGTTAAATGTATGCATCAGTTTGCGCTACAAGTAAATCAGTACGTATTCGAATGAAAAATTTGTTACATTTTATATAAAAATTGTGCCCTCTGGGTCTGAAAACACAAGTTCAAACATCAGCCCCATCGACAACGTTTAGAGCTACACGTTAATTTGAAGAACGCGCACAGTCTTGTGAGTGAATGATGGTCACAAGAAATCGTGAACAAAGTGTAAGACCACGAGCCAACAGCTGCAAACTCCTTTTCTCTCTTTTTTTCCTCCATTAATGCTTCCTCCAAATTGATCCTTCGCTGAGGCCCGCCCCTTTTTGACGGTCTGTCAAGTTGTCAGAACAATCATGGAGCCCAAACTGTGACTAACTGCACTCTCTGAAGAAATATTGTCAAATTTTGGGAAAAAAACGATCAAGGTATTTCAGAGAGAAGCAGACAGAGGGGTCTACATTATGTGTTTGAAGGATATATCCAGGATGTCAAACTCACTCAGCACAAATAAGTTTAAAAAGATAAAGACAGAAGCTGAAGCCTGATGCACAGATCACAGTGAAAAAGTGAACCACCACACCAGCTGGTTATCAAGACAGATGACAATGTGTTTACATTCAGTAGGATATACCTTTAGTAGCTAGCTGGTTAGCTAGCTAACCCTACACTTTTCAGGGTTTGATTTTGGTTTTTGGAACAAGGAAGTAACGTATCTCCATCAAACCTTTTCACGTAACCAGTGTAATTATCATGTGCCCCAACGTTTAGCTCGAAATCCACAAAAACAGCCTGAAAATCTGAAAGGATTGCATGAGAGTCTATAAAGCACAGCTGTGTTGTTGTCAGACCCTTTTTTGAGGTGGCTGGTGATGCCACGCTAAAACTGGCCAGTCTGCATTTGAGGGGCGGGACTTAGCAAATTATGCGCTCTTCAAAACTGAAATCATAACACATCTCTCAGCTGTAGCAACTGTAATGATGGATGTGGTGGTGACTGTACCAGCTTGTATAGTATTTTTATGTTTTGTCTTTTTTAACCGATCCATAATTTGATTCATGCAGGCTGAATTAAATTTCCATTGCATGTATACCTTAATTTACTTTCTGCATAATATGATACACTGTTTAAGTGGTAAAACTTACACTCTTATGTTTTTGGTTTTGGGTAGTACACAGTAATTCATTTAGTGGGCAGTGGCAATGACTGGGGATTGGGGATGGATGGGTAGGAAGAGGTTCTACTTAAAAAGAATAGCTCCGAGCAGCTCATTTAAACAAAAAACAAAAACAAAACAGAAGAATTAAGCATGAGCTAGTTTTGGGCCTGTGAACTTAATTTAATTGATTTAATTGATGTGAACTTATCTTTGAGTTAGCTCTTGTAAAGTGTAAACTTGCATAACACTGTCAGCTAATATACAGTCAGAGACAAACTTTTAGCACGATGCCTAGGAGTGACTCAGATGTTTGATGAATACATATGGTATAAACTACAGATAAACCAGCAAACACAAATCACAGCACAAAACAGACTCTTTTTTAAAAATCACAGATTTATATTTGAGCAGAAACCTTAACAATGCATCATATTGAAATGTCAGACCACAAGTCCAATCAGAGCAGAGCATTGATGAGTTTACATATTACATCAAATTAAAAAAAGCAGATCAATATAGTCACAATAAGACTTGTGATGTTGCCACAGTGTATGTCTTTCTTATTTAAGATTTAAGGGGTCATATAAAAGCTTTTTAAAGTTGGGGCTTCACACAGTTCTAATACAATAACATGGGCAGAATTTGAGGATTAAATAGAATATATCAATGTATCTTTACAGGCATAAACCCTCTATTGAGCTAGTACCTACAAATAGATAAAACACAATATATCATCTCTTCAGATTAATTCAGTCAATATCTTGATTGAAATGCAGAATATTGAGGTTGTTTTCTGCCATCCTCCACACTGATGTCACCTGCACCCTCCCTCCGAGTGTTTTATTGGGTGTTCTCTCACGTCTCTGTGGTGTCGAGCCCTGTCGTCTTCATGTGTCTCCGCTCATTTTTCCTTCTATTGTTTCGCGTCTTCTTCAGGAAACGGGTTGAGATTGCCGGAGTCCCAATTTCCTCAGTAAAGTGCAGCCTCAGCCAGCCTGTGGTACCCTGTTGCATGTCCAGTTAACGACCAAATCTTCGTGTCCATTATTTGTAGTAAATGCATGTGTGTGTGTGTGTGTATTTGTCTGTGTTATATATGAATGTGTTCGAATGTGTGTGGCTCAGCTCCTAACAGCCAGCATGGAGTTGATCTCCCAAATGAGGTTGCGGAGTTGGTCCATGATCTGCTTCAGTTGCTGGTTCTTCTGCTTCAGCTTCTGCAGGAAAATGAGAACAAAACAAAACAAAACATATTTTAGATGAAAAAAAAAAAAACAAAAAAAAACAGAAAATATAAATGCCAGAGTGCCGCTTTGTCTGCTGAAACAATAAAACTACAGGTTTACAAAAGACAAAAAGGTCAAACAACCGACAAAACACTTCAGCAAACAACAAAGCAATTACATTTCAGCAGAAAACACATATTTCATGGCTTACAGGATATTAAAGTTGCACATACTGTAGTACTGGTATTAAAAAGTCCCGTGGAGTCATATTTAAGTTGCTACACCAAACAAGTTTTCCCCATCGGCTCTACCTTAGCATCATGTTATCAATTTAGCATAAACTTCACACTTCCTACACCACTCTGAGTACTTGTAAAATATAATTTCCTTCACAATATTACTGAGAAAAACAGGTTCCAGATGTATTTTCACTCCTAATGACTGCTGCTGTTTTGCTGCTGGCATGAGAAAATGAACAGGGAGGTTTGTCTCAGCAGGAAGTCGTGTGAGAAACACAGAAGACTCTTTCCTGTCTTCAAATTTAGTCCAAGTTATTGTTGCTGTCATAAAAGCAATCTAAACAAAAGTTTCAAGGTTTTTTATGCTTTAGTAGTGTTTGAGAATGGAGACTGATTCTTAGGTGAGTATCACAACTAATGTCAAATATATGTGTGGCAGCCATGCAGCAACCTCGGTGGTTGAAAAATGAAGTGCCAAAAACTGCAGTTTCTCTAATGGCCACTTGAGGCTGGCTCCAAAAGTGAGTCAATCCTCACAGGCACAGGTGTTGAATGCCCATCTTAAAAGCAGAAAAAATAATGTTTACAGCCTGGTACAAAAAAATATTTTTGGTCTCTATAGCTTTTTTCCACAGTCATGACGACTGTACGGGGGATGAACTTTTATGTAGCTTACCCGTTTAGATGTTATTAAGGTTTAAAGTTCCGCAAATTATTAGACATTCTGGTCTCCAAAAAAAGTCTTGTTCAGGATTTGGATGTACAAAAGACAGTGGGTCTTTTGTTTTTCTAAAAAGTACAAGGTTTTTAAGGTTTGACGCATTTTTTTTTTTTTTTTTTGCTTGCAAAAATTTGCATTAGCATTAGCACAATTAAACACAGAGTGAATAAGCATTGCGCTGACCACAGACACAGCACATGATTTAAGGTAGACAGACGGACTACTGTATTATTAGTTCTGTTATTTATCACAGGGCTGACACAGAGAGACAGACAACCATTCACACTCACATTCACACCTACAGACAATTTAGAGTCACCAATTAACTTGCATGTCTTTGGACTGTGGGAGGAAGCTGGAGAACCCAGAGAGAACCCGCGCTGACACAGGGAGAACATGCAAACTCCACACAGAGGGGCTCCCTCCTGGGATTGAACCAGGAACCCTCTTGCTGTGAGGTGACAGTGCTAACCACCACACCATCGTGCCGCCTACACCTGCTAAAAATGGGCAACAGACTCCAATACCATGCCAGCAGGTGAGTATGCCTCTCTATTTTTTTTGTTCTGGTGTGTCGTGTTTGACGTTACGGTTAGTTAACAGCAGAAAGCAGCATGGAGGCCAATGAAAACGTTACAGCGGCTACACTCGACTAACTGCAAATCTAATCTGTAAAGAGTTGCAGAAGGTGACAACATTCAAGCTAAAAAGGGGGCAAAAATGAGTGTGTCCACAACCCAGGTTTTATGTTTCCAGCCCTGCCAATCAGAGCTGGAGCCAATAATTATCTATGAGTCTTTTATCTCAGGAATGAATGCAGATTGTAACCTTTACTATTAAATACAAAGCCAGATGTTGGTGGGTGTTAGTGGACATTTTGTCCAGTGGGAAAGGGGCTTAAGTTAAATATGAAAAAAACACGCCTTCTCCTTCACAGTTTGTTTGAGGCAAGGATTAACAAAAGTCTGAAAGCCACATTAACTTCATGTATTTCATTGTATTTCTTCCTCCAACATACAATGGATAAAATTTTCCCACCTGGCCATCAACCTCTCCCCAAATACTGAGTACTTTAGTTGACTTCATCAGTCCAAGCCTCTGCTAATCGCTGAACCAACACATCTGGCCTGCCTCAGGGGTGTACAGGTACATCACAGAGGAGCAAATAACCCCCCCCCCCCCCCCCCCCCCCCCACCCCCCGTCACTGAGGGCTTTGTCCGCTGATTGCCTCTGAAAGCTCCACCAAGATCTCTAAGTCAACAGCTGCTGGTGACTGAAGTACCACATCGCTGAAGCTTTATACATAAACAAATAATGGCTCCAGAGCTTCTGCTGCTGCTGCTTGAGACTCAGAATAAAAACAGGTACAGCTGCCAAATGTGTGCTGCCTTTGAACAAGTAACTCAGGCTAAACATCTACATTTGAAGGTTCGGGCAAATTTAGCAACAGCAGTACATCACAGCTACTTACTCAGCTGCTTTTCTTCTGATAGATAGCCAGAGAGAGAGAGAGGGAGAGAAAGAGGAGAGCTCCTTCACTCAGGAGCTACTGTATCTGCAGTGCAGTGAAATCTATTAAGATTAAATCCATCTCACTCTCTCGGTAACACTCCTTTAGCCATGACTAATTACCAGCCATTTTTGCAGCGCAGATAACACCTTGAGCAATCGATTTCACACAGCTCTCTTAATATCAACTGTTTAGCTGATTGTCCTTGAAGATATTCCAGAGTAGAACATTTGGAGGCTTTCCAGTTTCTCTCTCTGGGGGGCTCTCAAGCTCTCTCACTCTTTTCTCCCTCCTCTTTCTCCCCCCTTTCTATCGCTCTCCTACTTTCATTTTAATTCAGCATGTGTGTGGATGTGTGTGTATTGCATGGGATATGCCTCATTACCCTGACGAGCAAGTTCTTGAAATAACTCGGTCATTTACTCTGTATTAATGAGATGATACCGTGAGCCTTTGTAATTTCAGTCGAACACTTTTTAAACAAGGTATACAACATTGGTATTTTTTTTAACAACAAAACATTTCTTTTTGCTTTAAAAAGAAACTGCAATCACAGATATATTTTTCAAGCAGATTTAGCTTCAAAGACAGAATTTGCTACTTTTGAATCCAGATTCTTTTTACAAAAATCTACTCTCAACATTTCTTTGAAACCAGGCATAAAAAAATTTCATATTGGAAAAAAGACTACGGAGGCAGCGAAGCCTTCACGGCACGTTCATCATAAAAGGCTCTCTGGCATATCTTGATATATGAATAACAAGACTGCTATAATCACAGAAATTGTTCTGCAACCTCAGGGAGATATAATTCCATTCATAACCTTGTAATTAGCGTAACTCTAATCCTTCACACCTATAATGCGATGTTTGGAAAAAAGGGTATACTACAGAGAACAAAGCAGAGAAAAGGAGCTCTGAACCATCTCTTTTTTTTCGTCCAGAGAACAAGGCTTTTACACACATATAGACACAAAAAGACCTCTTGAGGAATCCGGCGAATGCACTCTCTCATTTCTTGGCCTGCCACTCAGCGGCTCGGCCCCACAATAATGTTTTGATGCCGTCTCAATCCGCAGTAGGCCCCTTCTGACACGCTCTGACACTGCATCGGCCGCGGCAGGGTGGCCAGTCAACAACTCATGAAAGTAAACAAGGAAGCGCTGTCTGAGCTCCTGTCTCCGAAGGCCTCCTGCAGACTGGCAGACTGCCTACCTGCTTCATATAACCTAGAGATGCTGGCAGACATCGACGGACTAGCGGAGGAGAAAGTGGAAAAGCACAGTGACCCGAGATGGAGTGGAAATAGGAGATTGGCACGCATGGAGGAGATGCAGCGATGTGTGTACATTAGTGTTTATGTCGAAGAGCGTGCAGCTGTGCAAGTGTTTATGGTCTGATGTGCATGCCTGTGTGTGAACAAAAGGGGTGTGGCTGCACATAAAAATGTCTGTGTGTTTTTATGCGTGTGCATCAGTCTGTGTTAGGGATTCAATCTATTGGATCGATATCAGCGCCAATACTGACCTTATTAAGCAGAATGGGTATTGGCCAAGAATGACCAATCCGCAGTTTTCTGTTTGGCTCAGTTCATTTGCTGCAGTGAGTTGACATTACTGCTAATAAGGGCTGCAGTCCTATTAATTTTAAGTCCATTTAATTTTAGATTAATCTGACTAAAAATCTAAATAAAAAAAAAGGAAAAAAAAGATCTAGGTCTATTGGAACATATTGGAACATTTCCCCCCCCCCAAAAAACAAGTAATTTCCCAAAATGACTCTCTTTAAAAAAACTAACCTAAAAGATACTCAATTTACAGTAATAGCAAGTAAACACAGTGAAAAGCATCAAACCTCACATTCTGGGAGCAGGAAACATTGAATTTTTAAGGAGCTGTATGCCATATTTGAAGCACTAAATTAGTAGCAAACCACTATTTGCTCTGTAAAGACAGAGTGGAGTAATGACGTCCTGAGTCCTCTGTGAGTGTTGTAATCTGACCTTCTGTGTTCTTCATGTAGTACAGTGGTTGGCCATTTGTGCATGTTGGTGTATGTCCCCATGAGCATGTCTGACCAGCTAGCTTATCGCTGCTGCTTTGCACTGCTTTCAAGCAACGACTGCCACTGAGATGTGACACCCATGCTCCGATCACACCAAGCAGCAACTGCCTGAGAGCCCAACACTGACTTCCAAAAACTGCAGTTCCTCAAATGGCCACTTGAGGCTGGCTCCAGAAGCGACTCAATCCTCATGTTAAAATGCCAAGTTTTACAGTAGAAATAAACATGTGTACAACCTGGTATAAACACTTTTTGTCTCCACAGCTAATTTCAACATTCGTGACAACTGCACAGGGGATGAACTTTTATATAACTCACCCATTTAAATGTCATTAAGGCTTAAAGTTATGCATAATTAAGAGCGGGCTGGTTGAGTGACAGGCTGTCAACAAGACGTCACAACAGTCTATGACAGCGATCCCTCCTTGGCTCCTCCACAGCTCCACCCTCTGGTCCA